CAAAGAATAAGATAATGGGTAAAGATTCAATTCATATGCAGTCAAATCTATCGTATTTGTAAATTATTGCTACAAAAATTTTGCCCATCTTATTTTATTTTTTTTTCTCTTTAGCTTTCACCTTTTCTTGTGGTAAGCTTCTTCAACATCTCTCTCCACTCTATGTTATTCATACAATCTCTTTTGTCTAATTTATACTTATATTGGCTCTAACTTTATGGCCCCATTGAAGTTTTGGCCTTCCTCTTTTACGTTTGCCCATAACTTCCAAACTCAACCTTATTTCCTATGTAGTTCATAGGCCTTCTCATTATGTGCTCATACCACCTAAGTCTGTTTACCATTAACTTAGTCTTATTGGGCACTACCTTTAAACTACTTAGTATTCTTGTACTGCGCACTATCCTTTCTTGTTACCCCAGCAATCATCCTCAGCATTCTAATCTCCATAGTTTGTAGACTTCTCTCGTCTGATTCTTTGGTTGGCCATGTTTCCGAACTATATAGAATAGTTGGTTGTTTGTACTATGGAACTGTAAATTTTTTCCTTTAATTTGTGTGGGATTCTTTTGTCAAATAGCACTCCAGCTAAAGATCTCCACTTTAACCACCCCTGATTTATTTTACTCTTTATATCTTTTTCTATTGTTCCGTTTGTTTGATGGTGGAGCCCAAATATTTGCAGCTTTCAATTGCCGATATCTGCCATTCATTTATATCAATACTCTGTTTCATCTATCACCATATACTCGTCTTTTCTCATTTTCTAGGATATTTATCCAACTCACTAATCTTTCATTTCATCCTTGGATTCGGCAAGTATCACAGTATCATCTGCAAATATCATATTCCACAGGACTGTTTGAGGTATAGACTGTGATAATACATCTATTACTGTAATAAAGAGAAGTGGGCTGAGAGCCGACCCTTGATGAACTCTCGGCTATTGTGAAGCCTGTTGAAGTACCAGTTGTGCTACGGACCATTGTTGTATGGCCCATATACATATCCTGTATTATTTTTATATATTTTTCGGGAACCTTTTTGTGGCGTAGCGCTCACCAGGTAAGTTTTCTTGAGATTCTATCGAAGGCCTTTTCTAGATCGAGAAAGACCATATGTAGCTTTTTGTTCTTTTCCCTGTATTTTTCACTCATTTGCTTAACTGCGTGAATAGCATCAGTTGTTAATCTTCCAGGCATAAAGCCAAACTGAGTCTCCTATTTCGATTATGTCTCTTAATCTTTTTTCTATTATTTTTTCGTATAGTTTTAGACAGTGTGACATTAGTTTTATGCCCCTGTAATTTTGACAATTGTGTGGATCCCCTTTATTTTTGAAGATAGGAAGTAGATAGCTCTGCCTCCATTTTTGGGGAACCTCTTCATTTCCAAGTATTTTATTGTACAGATTTGTGAGAGATTCCATCATCTCCTAGTGCTTTAAGGCTTTCTATTGGAATATCATCTGGACCCCTAGCTTTGTTGTTTTTCATATGCTTGAGACATGTGATTATTTCTTGTTCTGTTATTGGTTGTACAAGGTTTTGACATGGGGAGTGTTCATCTAGATGTAGTATGTGGGGATTAAAGTTGAGAAGCTCCTGAAAATATTCCTTCCATATATTCATTATTTCTTTTTCCTTTATTATCAATTTCCCATCTTTATTTTTGATTACTTTCGGAGCTCCGTTTATATCCCTAGAGTACTTTTCTCGCTGTTTGACTAATCTGTATATTTTATTTTGCCCTTCTTTGGTATGTAGTTCTTCATACATGTCATCGTATGCCATAGCTTTGGCCCTAGTCACCGCCTTTGTAGCTATTCTCTTGGATTTTTTGTAATTTGTCTTGTCATCTGGGTTTTTGGATTTGTACCATATTTTATATAGAGCTTTTTTCTCCTGTATAGAGGTTTGTACCTCTTCATTCCACCACCATAGTTCTTTGTATGATTTTTTTGCTCCCCTTGTCAAGTCTAGTGTTGATTTGGCAGTGTCTATAAATCTGGATGAAAGGTCTGTCATTTTTTCACTGACTTGCGAGGAATCTATTGTTTCAATGTTTGTGCAAAGGCATCTGTCATTGTTTTTAATTTACCCCATTTGATGCATGGTTCCAGTTTTATCTTGTTTTGAGTGGATTTATTTGTGAGGTGTGTAGCTTGTGTTGCGCGGCCATATCTTCTTCTGGGATGACTTTGCAGTCTATTACATCTTTTAATCTTCTGCGAGAGATTAGCATGTAATCTATCGTTTTCCTTGTACCACTTTCATATGTTATTAGATGACTGTTTTTTTTCCTATAGTAGGTGTTGGTTAAGGCAAGGTCGAAGTGCGCAAATTTCAGTACATGCTCTCCATATCCAAAACCACCATGATGCCTTTTGTAGCTATCTCTTGCTTTCCCCACATGCGCATTTAAGTCATCACCAATAGGGATTTCCATTATAGCTACATCAAGGATAGCTCTAAAGTCATCTTTCTCTTCTTCCTTGCAACCCGTTTGAGGATCATATACTGAAAGGATGTGTAGTATTGATTGACCAATGCAGAGTTTTATCTTCATAAGTCTATCAGAGATCCTGTTGACTTCTACTACTGAGGAGGTTAGATCTTGACTGAGGATGATGTCGACACCGTTTCTATTGCTAACAATTCCATTATAGTACAATTTATAACCATCTCCAATCATTAAAGTCTTCTGACCTTTCCATTTCGTCTCTTGTAGGCATGCTATATCAACTATTCTCTTGTTCAACATTAATGCCAATTATCTCGTCTTACCTTTAAGCGTCTCAATATTCAAACTTGCAAAAAATTGTCTAAATTGCTTTGACCTTTACTTTACTTTTCACAGGATGGAGGTCTACACCCTGCGCGTCGCTTGGAGGGAACGCCCTAGCTTTTATATTCATATTTTCATTTGTTTCCTTCATTTTATTTATTGGACAGGTATCCTTAGCACCCGGCTGTCCAGGCCTGTTGGTGACCGGGGTTCATCTCTAAGCTCCGAAATTCATTTTACCAGATATCAGTCATCGAAGAAAAACTTGAAAGTTTTTTATGCTACCTACCAGGATTGAACCTGCGTCCTCTTCGTCCTTCTATTTCTAAGCACACATCTAACCCATTAGACCACCCCAGCGATTTTTGCCCATCTTATATAGTTTTTATCTTAACTTGTATGAAAAAAAACATTTTACCATCTTTTATATTCACAGTGTGAGACTATTTTTAAATAATTTTTTTATTAATGTATCAAAATATATAAAATAAGAATATAAATATATAATTAATTTATGAAATATATTATATCTTTCTGCTTATTTGGTACAACATTTATTTTGCATTGTGTTTGATAACATCTTCTTTGAATTTATCAATATTATTAACAGCTCCTTTAAAAAAAATATTTTATCAGATTTTCATTGAATGATTTACAAATATAATAATATCAATTTTTTAAATTAATGATAATATTTGTATTTATTTTCTTTACTAATTTTGTTATTTGACATGATAAAATTTTATAATGTAAATGAAATTAGATGCCTTCTTTATAGAGGTCTTACAATAATAAAAAAAACTGCCCACTTATCTAAGTTTTTTATATAGATATTTTAAAATAAATTCATAAATATAAAGAACAAGTTATAATGAGGGTATTTTAAAAGAACTGGTTAGATCAAAGAAAGGAAGACTTGGATACAGTACATCTATAATAATAATTAGAGATCTGCAAAGTTAGGCCTGGCCCAAAATTGAGTTCGGGTTGGGCCTAATATTTTTAAAAAAAATTTGGGCTGGGTCGGGTCAGACCTTGGAATTTTTTTTAAATGTATCTAAATTTATCAATTTTATATTAAATTTTTTATGTATAATAAAAATATTTGATTTTATTTATTGAGACTAAACGACATATAACATATGTCTTTTATTTTGAGTAATTATAAAAATTAATTTCTATATATAAATAAATTCGGGCCAGGACGGTAAATTTTTTTAAAAAAATTTCGGGTCGGGCCGGGCTTGAAAAAGTAGGCTCGATGCAGATCACTAATAATAATCATCATTGATAAATTTATAGACAATTCATATCAAAGATGGAAGGATTATTTATTCTCATTCATTTGTCAAGCAGTCTATCAGAGATCTGCAAGCTTAACCTGACCCATTTAAAAAAAATAAAAACTGTTTGGACTAGGAAAATTTAAAATGGACCAGACAATTTGTGCATAAAATTTTTTGGGCAAGGCTGGAAATATCACACAAAACCTGATTTTTTTGTAAAATTTGAATAGGTCAACCTAGGCATTAAAAGTTGTATCTTTTTTAATTTCAAGCAAATATTTTGATTAATATTATTTGTAAAATATGTTTCTTAAGGTAAATTAAATATTTTCACAAAAAATTAAGCAATTGATTTATGATATAATTAAAAATGAAATACAGATATAAATACAATTGATTTGTAAATGGTTGTTGTAAAAAATAAAGCCATATAGGAGAGATATGAGCCTTATTTGACATTTGTATAGATATAGATATTAAAAATGTGATGTCCATAAAATTTATACAAAATTGAATGGACCAAGGTTGCTTTAATAGACCAGGTCATACTTTTTGTTTATTGCTGGTTGGGCTAGGTAAATTTTAAAAAAAACTATAAAGGTGGACCTGTCAAAAAAATTTTAAAGGAAAAAGTAAGTTGTTGCATACCTTTATATTCTATAGTCAATCACATGCACAAATTTGGAGATGGTCTAATATGTGCAACCAGTAGTATAATTAAAACATAAATTTTTATAAAAATATTAACAATCATTTCTTTTTATATTCTAAAATATAGCATTCTCAAAGAATAAAAAGATTTTTAACAAATTTATAATCAATTTTTTTCTCACATAAAATTATATTTAGGGATTATAGATTAAGTACCAAAAAAGGTTCATCTTTGGTTAATATATCATATAAATGTAATATAAATATTTTTTATTACATTTTGACATAGGTTTATTTTTGGAATTTGGCGGTGCAGCGAATATTTAAAACATAAATTTTTCTGTGTTTAATATAATTTTTGTAAGGCTGCATTCATAGTGGAGACGGATCCGTTTTTACATCCGTTCCGTCAAAAGTCAAACTCATTAAAAATGATATAAATGTTCATAGACTATAAAAAAATTGTAAGTAACGTTATAACGCTCTATAAGATTTGCCGGATCAAAAAGTCAAAATGTTTTGACTTCAAAATTTGCCGGATCCGTTTTTAAGACGGAAGGTATCGGAACGGACGCACTATGAACATATATATCATTTTTAATGAGATTGACTTTTGACGGAACGGATGTAAAAATCGGATCCGTCTCCACTATGAATGCAGCCTAAAGGTTAGCAGGGAGTAAAGCAGGATTAAATAAAAAGATTTAAAACTTTTATTAAATAAATATATTTTAAAAATATTTAACTAAAATAATAAATTTATTCTTTATATATACAAAAAATCTATTAAATGAAACTATTAAGTTAAGTTAATATAAATGGTGTCAATTAAATGAATGCGACATACAAAAATTTGCGCTATATAACAACCATTATAATAAAATAATAATCCATGTTTAACATTCCACCCTCTAAAGGAACCCCGCCTAGGTTCTCTTTAGACGTAAATCTTTCGTGTTCAAGGAGTTTCCCATATATCATAAAATCTGTCATAGTTTCGTTTTGGTAAATTATAGTTATTTTGGTTGTTAAATCTTTGGTTGCTATAATATGGTTGAGTCTGCCATGGTTGTCTAAACTGATGTTTATAATTATTATCATAAATTGTCATATAGTATTATTTGATTTTAGTTCGAAACTTTCTTATCTTGTCTTACTCCCTCCAAATCTTTGAAAAACGGTTTAGTAGTTCATACGATTTGACTTTTTGTTTGTTATTAAATATATGTGCGTTTGAATTATTTTAGAATGTTGGTATTGTTGAATAACGTCGTAATAAAATAAGAATCGTCGAGTAATCGAAATAGAATTAATTTAACGAATAACGAATTTGATTAAGAATAATTGAAGTAGAATAAATTAATCAAACATTGAATATTTGGAATGAAATAAATAATTGGTCGCGTTTTATTTTTTTTTATTATATTATAAATATTGCGTTTTATATAATAATTTTTATCAATATTAAATTTCAATTTTGTCCTTATTTTTACACATCTTTAATTGTAGCGTTTTATATAATTTTTTATTAATATTATATTTAAATTATTTTTATTTTTTTAAATTTTACTCCCTTGTTTTTCAATATAAACAACTGTTCATATCATAAATTATTTTTAAATTGTTCTTTCTAAAAAGAATTTTATTTCGCCTTCCATTTCTAAAGGATTTCCAGGGGCGTCGCTAGCCTTCACAATTTTAAGGGGCTCAACTAAAAAATTTTATGGGGGTGCGGTGCGGGTCTTCAACCCGCTTTTGCACGGCCTTCGACCGGGTTTTATATTAATATATTATACTTTTTTAAAATTTGTTAACTTTAAACAATTATTCTGATTTTCATATTTTGTCATTTATTATATTATGCATACAAAATAAACTGGCATATAAAAAATAATATAATTCAATAATATAATTCTAACAACTTACATTGACAAAAGGTTATCAAACTAGTATAATTCTCTGTGACCATTTTAGACAATGTTTTATAGAATGGGCTATAAGAAAAAATTTATAGGCCTAAACCTAATAAACAATTTTTGTAGGAGAGAGTATAAACGACCAATCAAAACATAGGCGTAGCCAAGATTTTCATAAGGGGGGGGGGGGATTAAAAAATTACTATGGGCTTCGCCCCCAGACCCCCTTTTGGGCGGTAAGTAGACATATAGTTGATTTTACTCTATTTTATAGAATTAGTTATAAAATACTAGGTAAAATTCCACTTTTACAGACATATTTGACAGTTAGAGAATATATTACAGTTAATAATTAAACAAATTTTACTAATCAATCCTCTTGATATTAAATATAGCAACAACTTGCATTCAATTATTTAACGCCATCTATTTATATTAAGTAAGAATGATATTAAATTTAATCTTCATACTATTTATCCCACAATGTCTTTTAAAGATATTTTCTGATGTCCTTATCAGTATTTTATAGTTTTCTGTAAAATATATAATTCGCTATATTGATAAAAATTACTTGATTGTCATTTGATAATTAGATATACTGTAAATCTACGACATATAATATTCTACTGTTTGTATTATGCTTTAATATTTTATTAATTTATGATTTAATTTTATCAATAGTTTATATTTATATTTTACTTTTATTAAGATAAATAAATTAAAATTACTCACTTTATAAAATAATATATTTGATATATTATATTATTTAGTAACTTTATGGATCTATTATTAATAATTATAATACATTTCACTTCTGTCTTAAAACTTATCTTTGGCTTATATTCCATTTATTAAAAAACATTTTTGGTTCATTTTATATATTTATAAATTTATTTTCGCAAAAATCTATAAATTATGATGAATAGTTTTATAAAAAAATATCAACTTTTACATTCTTTCTTTCAAATTATTATTTAGGATATATGTATATGAGGGTCAGGGAGTGGGGGGAGGACTAAGGGGGATATTTTTTATTAGCTAAAAATGATATTTACAAAAAGTAATAAATTTCTGAAGAGGGGAAATTTCCCATTGTCCCCCCTCCCTGGCTACGCCTATGAATCAAAATCATAAAACTATATGGTGGTTAGAGCTTCTTCTTAGATGGCATTATGGAAGCTAGATAAGTAATCGAGAAAATTATTGTGAGATATCAAATTTCTAAAAGATTATCTTCCATTTTAAATGATGTATAAATGACTACACAGTTGACCATTATTGTTTATCTAAAATATGCAATTATATGCTCTCAGCCGTTATAGTAATAATCTTAAATTACATAGCAACACAAATAATAGATGCTGGTTAATTTGCAGTAATAGCCATGACACTCACGATGTAAACTAATATCAGAATTTATTATGTTGGATAAATTGATAAAATAAAAACACTAAAAATCTTTGAAAGAAATAATTATGCACATATATTGAAGCATGGAGTTATTTACAGGCAATGCCATATTAGAAATGAAACATTTTCTAACTATAAAATAGGGACCAGAATGATATGATGAAACAATTAAGATTTTATATATTGTCGCCCCACCTTGGTTATTTAAATCTTAAAATAATAATAGTTTGTAATAATATCAAAAATATACTTGTATTAAAAATTTAACTCAAGACTGTTTTTCTAAAAAGAAAAAAATAGCTTTCCTAAAAACACGTAAAAAAAGAGAAGAAAAGATATCAAATTTATTACATCTATTTCAGGATGAATAATAAAATGTTTAATTTTAAAAATTACTTATAACTAAATAGATGGTTTAAAAACTTGACTTGAATGCAATTTGTTATTATATTTATTATCAAAACCATTTATTAGTAAAATTTATTATAATCTTAACTGTAATATATTATATAACTGTCAAATACGTCTATAAAAGTGGCATTATATCTAATATTTTATAACAACTGTATATAGTAGAGGATTATAAACTATATGTCTACTTACTTTTTATAAAGAAATCTCTTATACTTATTTGGACCTTAAAAATATTTTTAAGGTATGATAATAAAATTTCAAAATATACAGTTGATTAGTCATTTTGAACTCGGCTAATTACAATATTAAATTTGTTAATTTTCAAATAATATATGATTATATTTATTTAATTAACGTTATATAAAAATATAAATAATAAAAGTCAATTAAACTTCAACTGTTATAGCTAAATTAATATTTATTGAGTTATTTATATTATATTTTTAATACAGAATTTGATTGCAAGCTGACATGGTGAAAATATAATTTATATGTATTAATCTAATCTAATAATTAAAATAATATTAATTTAATAAAAATTTAAATAATCTTATCAATTTCTAAATGATAAAATTATATCTATATATTACTTGATTGAATTATAAAAGAAATCATTCAGTGGGCAATCAAAATTGATTTTAGTTCAAGGGGATATTAAGTTTAAAAAAAAATTTTGCTTCAAGGGGCTCGAGCCCCTCCGCGCTCTCCCCCCTAGCGACGCCACTGATGATTTCCATATCATATTCTTAAAAACTTTTTTATCATCAAGATGTTTAACTTTCACCTTGTCTCTCTTAATAATAATTGTTTTACATTTATTTATTTTCACAATTTTATTTAATTTTTTATCAATTATAAAAGTTTTTATTTTATTTCCTTTAATGATTATTTCCTTATTTTCTTTAAAATTTATTTCCTTATTTTCTATAATCACAAATGTTTCAAATTTTATTATATAATTTATTTCTTTTAGTTTATAAGAATCTCTTTCATTTTGAATATTTGTTTTAATTCAATATTTTCCAATTTTTTGATACTAAGAGATTTACAATTATAATGATAATTTCTTTTCTTATAATGTGTTTCTTTATCATTATTGTCTAATTTTCTATTTTTATAATAATTCTCATTATTAGATTTACTAAAATTTTTATTAGAACAATTTTCTTTTATTTCTGTAGCCGATTTATAATTACATAAACACTTTAATGTACATAATGCTTCATCATAACTTGAATTTAACTCTCTTGGAAACACTGCTTTCATGACCAAATATAAATCATCTGGTAAATTACCTATTAAGCTTAGAGTATTCTTACTATCATAAAATATTAAATAATCTTCTAATTTGTCTATGGACTTTGTTTTATTGTTATTGTCCCATATAGGTTTATTCATAATTTAGAGATTTATAATTAAAAATTTTACATAACATTCCAGAACTTTTTTTTTATCTAGTTGTCTAAGCAGTAGCTAAAATCATATTGTCTGGAATATTTTGTAAGTCATCATAGTCCAATTTTAATTAGTTCGTCTAGTTTGATATCTAGTTTAACAATTCTCCTCATTGTTGATTTAACCATTTGATCAATCTAAATTATATTTTGCAGAAAAAAAATAAATTTAAAAGATTTTAAAATTGTAAATTCTGCTGCCACCATGTAAAGATTAGTAGGGAATAAAGCAAGATTAAACAAAAAGATTTAAACTTTTATTAAATAAATATATTTTAAAAATATTTAACTAAAAAAATATAATAAATTTATTCTTTATATATACAAAAAATCTATTAAACAATTAAATTAAACTTAAGTTAAGTTAATATAAACGGTGTTAATTAAATGAATCCGACATACAAATATTTGCGCTATATAACAACCATTATAATAAAATAATAATTCATGTTTAACAATTTTCAAATTATTTTGCATTTTCAATA